GCTGACTAAGTGTTCAATATCCTCAACTTTCTTCTTACATGCTACACATTTGTTTATTTTATAAATATCTGGTCTTCTCTGACTTAGTTTTTCAAAAACTAGTAGTAAATTGTTTATACACTTTAGTTCGAAGAGCTGAATGTTGTTTGATTCAAAAGTATAATCCTATTGTTTAACTCCACTTTTTAAAAGCTCATAAAATATTGACCAGCATTAATGAAACTTTCTTTCTTTGTGTATAGTGTTTTGGGTACTATGTGCAAAAATCTATTTCGCTCTATTTATTACTTTTCTAAGCATCTTGGTAAAGGATCGTAGTGGCTTTTCTACTAGTTTATTTTTCCATTTCAATCTTAGCTTGTATTCTTTTGTGCTTAGTGATACTGGGTTAAAAATTCTGAACTAAGTGCACCTTCTCTGGCTTTGAGATCTGCCAAGTCGTTAAAAAATTCGCTCGAGTGTCCTTTGACTTTTGTAAAGTGTAGCTTTAGCTGTTTTGTTCAGACTACTTCTGTCAGCGTTATGATAAGACTACTATTTTTAATTTTTAGCCACTGTCTTGACTTATTTGACTCTAAATCTTTTTTAATTGCTAAGTTTGCTGCTTTACTGTCTGTTCTGATTTCAACCTCTTTTTCTTTTGGTGTTATTAGTAAAGCAGTAAGAATTGCTACTAGCTCAGCTCTGGTAGAAGAGAACCACTTTTCTGTTGCACATGCTATTTGATGTATAATTTGACTCTCCTCTGCTACTTGAATTATTCCACAACCCATTTGCATTTTGAGATCACTTTCTGTCGTCCCAAGTGAGCCGTCTGTGTAAAATAAAAGACTATTTACTTGTCTGTTTTGCTCTAAAATTTTCACTAATCTATCTCTAAGCTCTTTGTCTATGACTACTCTATCTATTAATAATTTTTCCCAACTTTCAATCTCTATTACCGGTATATCTTTTTTTTTTACACTTTGCAACTCTTTAGATAACACCAGTATTTTTTCCTTCTTCTCTTCTAATGCTTTTCAAAGGTATCTATATTAAGAATTAATTTTGTACCTCTTTCAGTTTTTTGTACAAAGTTTGTAATATCTCTTAGCTTTTTCCGTTTAACTATTAATGTTCCTGATCCAATACTATATTCTTAAGAGCTTTGCCCAAAACTTAAACCTGTCTCTATTAACTCTCTATAGTTTTCAACCTCAATATATTTGTTTTCTTTTTCCTTAATCTTTCCAACTCTGATATTTGTATTTTCTTGTTCTTTCCACATAATCCACTCTCTTGTTCTTTTATCCTTTTTGACTTTTCCTACAAATAAAACAGGATTGTTTCTGTCGCGAGATGCTATTCTAAACTCTGGCTTAACTTCTCTCAAAAACGGGTTTGTAATCATTTTCCTTTTTAAAATGTTGAACCACTTCACTTTTCTTCCTCTTCTGTCAGTATGTTGTATCCACTTCATTTGTTACCATATATACATTGACTTGCTATCTTCTGCTAAAAGTTGAGATATATAAAAAACCCCTAGTTTACTTGTATTTGTCTCTTCATATACAAGATTACTTCTTTCTAGAATTTCAGCTACTTCAATATTATTTACTCCTAATGGTAGTTCAGAGTTCCAGCTTTTTGTAAAATCGTTTCTTCTATCGAGAAGTTTAATGCCTTTGCTTGCTGTAAAATCTGCAAATTTAGGTTTTTTAGTTTAATTAACCTTGCTTTAGTCTCATTAGTGTAGATTTTTTTACAGGCCCTTCTGCATTTAGTCTCACTAGTAGTTCTGAGAAGTGATGTTCTATATGTCTATTCTACAAACTTTTGAGATTTACTATTTCTGAGTGTTTTGGGATCACATTTGCTGCTGTTGAAGGCATTGACAGCTTCCATTTGGTCAGGCATACCATAGGCTGATGTATTCTATTACATTGTGCTCTGGTTAGACATGAGATCATAAGTCTGTACTCTAGAATTGGTATTAGCACAATGTTGTTTATATATATAATCTGGCTGAGAGATATTTTTTAAATTTAAGAAGGCCTGTTATCTTGGCTACTTCTTTTCTTGCTTTATGTATATCTGATCTTTTCTGGTTTTTTGTTGATATCCAAACTCCTAGAAAACGAGTAGACTCCTTTAGATTCTTTGTTAAGATTTTCACTTTTGGGTTGCCTGCCCAGATGTAAAGATCCTCGGTACCTCTTTGTTTACTTAGTTTTATAACTACAAGTTCTGTTTTGTTTGGATTTATTTCAATATCATTCAGCTCATAAAACTCATTTGAAATATCAATTGTTTTTTGCATATTTTTTTGGCTGCTAGTCACCCATGTTGTATCATTTGCATAAGCTAATACACCTATCTGCAGCTTTTCTGTGGCTGAATGATTGTCTATTTCTAACTTGCTACTTTGCATCTCATATCCTAGATTTGCTTCTTGTACTTTGCAAAGGAGAAGGTCATAGAAATTCTCCACACCAAAGGGGGATAGCACCTCTTCTTGGTTAATTCCATCTCCTGCTTTAGCGGTTTTAGTATTACCGAAATCTGTTATAAAGCTAAGCTTTCTTTTGTCGTAAAGATTCGTAATAAAATTTGCTAGCTTTGGTGGAAATTTGATCCTTTCTAATGCTTTTTTAAGTGCTACTATACTAACTAAGTTAAAGGCTTTTTTCATATCTTGAAAAGTGATCCAAAGCTCTTTTCTTTTCTCCACTGCCTCCTCTATTATATTGTTCATAATGTGAATAGGTGCAGATATACTTTCTCCAGAGAGTCCTGCAAAGTTTGCATCTTTTAAAATCTTATTTCGACTTAACACCTTGTCAAGTCTTATTTGTATTACTCGTGTTATCACTTTTTTACATGTTTCTAATAAGACTATTGGCCTTGTATTACTCAGATTGTATTCCCAAAAGCTTTCTTTTGGAATTAAGTATACCTGACCTAATTTCCATTTTTTGGTATGTTTCCAACTTCCAGAACAAAATTTGCGAAATTTATTATTCTTTTAGTTATCTTTATAGAGAGATTTTTGAGTAATATATACCTGATACCTGATTTTGTGTTTTGCCTAGAGCTTGTATTCATTCTTTTTTACTAATTGGACTCATTACTTTTTCATATATAGATGGACTTATGTCTTTCTTTGACATATACTCGTTTTTCCATTCCTGGCTCATCTTTTCAAACTTTTGATTTCTTTTTCGGAACTGTTTTTGAAAGTGTGAGGTAACTTGCTGCTTTAGCTCAGTCTCTTTATTAATGAGTTTTAAATTCTGGTAATCAATTCTTTTCCAACAAGAACTCTATCTAGTGTTACCTTGTTGTATGCTCTGTTCAGTAGACTTTGTAGCATTCTCTTTTTATTTTTTTTCATCATACTAAATCTTTGTTCTATTTTACTTCTTATTTCTTTTTCTTTTCTTTTGCGTTCTTCTTCTTCTGCTTTTTTTTCTTAAATTTTTTATTTCGACCTGGCTCCAAAGTTCTGGCATTTGCGGGATTTGTGTTTGATATATTAGGTTTATACTTTCAATTTGTGCATCAAACTTTTCTTTAATGGCACTATCTATTTTTTCCTCATAATGTGCGTAACTTTCTTTTTGTAACTGATACAGAAATTTAACCTCTTTGAAAGTATTAAATCTGGGGACTAATAGTTTTTCATGGATCTTGGTTTTTTAAATATTAACTGAAGGTATGTGTTTCATTGCTGCTTTCATGATTGTATTACTTAAAATGTCTCATTCTATATTAATGTCTTTATTGCAGCAAAAAATAAACTTATGTAATCTCTTGTGCTTTTTTTCTCTTATTAAATTTTCGAAACACTTGCTATACAAATCCCAGTTTTCTTTTGTGGCTTTGTGGTAGAGAAAAACTCTTCTTGTAGGCTTTTTTTTTTCTTTTCTGTTTCTAAGTTTGCTATAATTTAATATGCCACTAGTTTCAATTTTGAACCATATGAGCTTGTGATCGCTTCCAGTAATTAGGTTTATATCTTCAATTAAAGCTTTAGATAGTAGGTTGCTTATTTCTTCACCTATCTATATATAATCTATTTGAGATGCCGAATTATCTTGATGCCAGGTATATTCTTTTTTGTGTAGGTATAGATAATGAAAAGTGTTTATCAATTCCCTGTTTTTAAGCTACTCTAATAGAGTTTTCCCGAGCCCCTGATTTTTATGATTTTTGTTATTTGTGTCCAGGTTTGTGTTACTTAATGCATTGAAATCTCCCATTACACAGATATATGTGTTGATTTTGTTACTACAAATTTCTTGTATTATTGTCCGTTGAGTTTCTTTGTTAATTTTTTTGTCTGCTGGTGGTAAGTAAGCTACCCAAATTTGTATAACTACTTTCTTAAAGAAAAATTCTATTTTGATAAAATATGGGCTATATCTAATTACTCTACCTTTTTTTTTATTTTAATTCTTTATAATTTTAAAATTAAAATAAAAAAATTTTAAACAAATTTGATTAATTAGTTGTTGAAATATTTTAATTTAAAAATTAAAAAAATTTTACTAAAAATGATTTGTCTCTTTCCTATTGTATATATATAATAGGTCAAAAATACACAGATTTTTGAAAAAAAATGTTATTATAGAGATTTTACTATGATATCAGATGTAGAGTGATGTGTAGTTACTAAGCAGTTACTGCACATTAAGAGATTCAAGTTTCTGTATAGTATAGGTGATTTGCGCGCAAAAATAATAAATCGACAACCGCAGAAATCGACTCTGGCAGTAGGATTTGGGTTTACCACAAAATCTCGAAAACCATTTTCCCGACTAAATTGGCCAGCATTATAACTAATGCCGGCTAACTTTATCGATATTGGGTCCTTTCGGGAATAACCGTAGGATTTTACTACCAACTTGACCACGTGATATTGAAATTTTCCACGCGTGGAAAGAATGACGTAACGTTTTTAATTAGTATAATTAGTATATAAGCCCTAACGTTAACTTTTTGTATTCACTCACGAAAATATGTGTGAGTACATACTTAATGGTTCGATATTTTTGTTGGAATTATAACGTGTCTATTAATATGAATTATCTCTTTAAAAGCAGCTGGATTTAACTTCGGAGCCAACAATAACAGTAATAATACTTCACAACCTTCTGGATCTAGTTTCGGTTCTAATAATCCTTCGCAACCTTCTAGTTTTGGTTTCGGTTCCGGCAATACTGCACAACCTTCTAGTTTTGGTTTTGGCACCAGTAATAATTCACAACCTGCTACATCGCAGCCCCAAGATAACGCTAGTGCTAGACCACTATGGTCCATTGGTTCTTCTGCGACTGCAGATCCGTATAATACAACACCTGTTGCAGGAAGCGGAATGTTTGCTGGTACAACTGCGGCGACAACTTTCGGATTTGGCCAAGTAAAACCTACGAATCCTTCTTTTAATGCTTCTTCACAGCCTCAACCATTTAGTTTTCCAACACAACAACAGCCATCCACAGGCTTTGCTGCACTAAGTAAAGTTTCTACAGCCTCCACGGCAGCGGGCAATCAAACTACCCCATTCCCAACTTTTGGTGGATTCGGTACTAGTAGCACTTCGACATCTTCATATAATAATGCTAATTCTAGTTTTGTCGGATTTAAACCACCGAATTCTGATTCTGGTAAGGCACAAGTAACAACTGCACCAGTAGCAACAGCCTCTACTGGGTTTACTTTAGGATCTGCTAAAACGGAGGCTTCATCCGCTTTTAGCATGTTCGGTGGCGCGAAAACTCAATCCGCATTTGGATTTGGAGGTACACAAACAACCACTGCTCCGGGTAATTTGGGATTTGGAACTGTGCAATCCACCGTTTCTTCAAGTAGTTTTACAACATTGCCTGGTTCAAGTCAACCTACTCAAGATACTAACAAGAAAGAGAGCATCGGATTTGGCACTAATCCTACATCAAAGCCTCCTAGTTTTGGTGGATTTGGTTTAGGCGCGCCAAAGACAACTCAAGGACAGAGTACATCTTCAGGATTATTTTCAGGGACCGGATTTAATAGTCAAGCTACTACTACTACTACTGCTAGTAATGATGTTCCAAAGACAACGTCATCAGGCATATCTCCTTTTGGTGCGATCACGACTACACCGAGTGGAATAAACATCTTTTCAAGGACGAATATTTCATCGATTTCGTCCACTCAACCCACTCAACCCAATCAACCGAGCTTATTTCCGTCGGCTGTTTCAACTCCTTCTGTTGGAATATTTAATAAGAAAGATACGACTGCAACCACAGCTGGTGCTTCGTTACTTCCTTCTACAACTTGTAAGTAGAATTTTTTTATTATTTCAATCACAACTTTATCTAACTTAAAATCATTGCATAAATATTTATTTAGTAGCATCAAAGCCTTTACCTACTTTTACAAAATCACAACTACAGCAACCTATTCCAGTAACGTCCTCTGCGCCAGGGAGTTCCGCAACAGTAATCACTACAACGCAAGCTTCAACGTCATTATCATTTTCAACTCCAAGCCTCTTACAACCTAAGACAGGCAGTATTACACAAGCCAAGCCAAGTGTGCCAATAATTACAGCACCACTATCAACATCTACTACAACATCTACTGCGTCTATTATTAAACCAGCTTTGTCGTCGATTCCAGTGACAACGGTCACAACTAGTGCTCCTGATCAGATACCTTCCTGGTTGAAAAATAATAATATCGAAGGTATAATTAAAAAATGGACGACAGACTTAGATAATTGTACCAAAAAGTTTCACAATCAAGTTAGAGAAGTCAATCAATGGGATCAGAAGATTATTGAGAATAATGGCAGGGTCAGTTATTTATTGTACTTCTATTATCTACAGATGTTAGTCATAATAATCATTTGTCCTTTATACTTCAATGCTTTTAGGTAACCAGACTCGGAGAGCAAATAAATAAAGCCGATTCACTTCAGGAAGAAATTAACATTTGTCTAAATAGTGTTGAGGCTCGTCAGCAGGAGCTTGAAAAAGTTTTGTCAGAGTACGAAGAAAAATTTGGTGACCCTAGCTTGGAAGCAATGAACCCATTAGACAAGGAAAGAGAAAAAACGTAAGCTGTTATTTATATTGAAAAGTTTTATTATTTATAAAATTCATCGAGTTAATTATTATTTCTAATAATATTATTCATAAAGTTACGAGTTAGCAGAATCTATTAATCAAGACCTTGATAACATGAGTCAGATTTTATCTGCCATTATTACTGATATGAACCGCAGTACAACATCGTCTACTCTTACTTCTGCACAACCGGAAGATGAAGATGAAGTAGTAATGAACGAATTAGGTGAAGATCCGGTAAGTTAATGAATCTATGTTACTACTGCCCGATGATCACTATTTGTCAACTTAAAAGTCAGAGATAAGGCTTGGATTCGATTTCATTTTCCATATGTTAAACCCGATTTTAATCGGGTTTAGCATATTAAGCCGGTTCCAAACTCTAATCGGACATAAGCTATTAGTATTTAATTTCGATCGAGATTATATGTAACTCACTCTTATCACGAAATTAATTTCAGATCGATGAAGTTGTCAAAATTCTTAATTCGCACTTAACGTCTTTGCAGTGGATCGATGCAACGGCCAATCAACTTAATGCACGTGTTCAAGAAGCTCAATCCCTCTTAGAGGACCGTTAACGCAGACTTGGGTTTACAATTTTATTCTAGGCCGGGATAGCTTAAAACATGTTGGTTAATTGTGTTTTTTTTAAGAAAAATATTTTCAAAAAATTGTATATTTTTTTATTTTTTTTATGAAAAAAACATTTAAATAAATAAAAGTTTTAATAGACACTCTCACAATAAATTACCGGAATGACCTATTTTTATTAATGAAATATACATATTATTAAAAGTTTATATTACTTCTCTATTCAAAACTTGTCAAAAGACTTCTATCTGTTTAATTCTTTAAATTTTATATCTAAAATTTTAGCTTTACTCTAGTATTAGTTTGCATCACTTTATATAATACATATCAAAAACGCTCTATATATTATAAAATAGTTAAAGACCTATATTAGTTTGACAGTGCTGGCATCTTTAAATCAGCAAATAAAATATATAATTTTTAAAAGTTCATAAATAAAAAATAATAGTAAAATCGAACCTAAAGACTCCCTTTCTCTCTCTTTTTTTTTCTATAGTTAAATATATTAATTTATTTGTATAAATACTGTATGTTTAAATTGGCCACTATATAACTTGCTGATTTAAGAATGCTTGCACTATACGTATAAAAATTTGCTTGATTTTTATTAAATATACTGTACTATATATTTATATAATATAAATTCTTTAAAGTTGATTTTTTACATTTTTTACTAGCTAATATTCTTTTAGTAATCAATAACAATTATATAACTATAATAAAAAAACTTGTTTATATTATCATAACATATTACTATGTAAAAAACTCAGTACCTTCTCTATACACTTGGCATAAAGACTTTTTTTTAAAAAGAATAATACAATATATATAATAATTTAGTAAAAATATTAATATTTAGCAGTAGTATTATGTAAATTTTAAACTAATTAAAGTTTAACATAGCTGGATATAATTATCAGTTTTGTTTTCTTTTACTTTTTTACTTTTCATTTTACCTTAAGTTTTTATTTTTGTTTTACCCTGTTATTTTTTTTTTTTACTTTTCCTTTATAAATATTTAATTGTTTGAAGTTATGACCCCCTTTTTTTATATATCCTCTTTTTTTATTAAGCTCTATGAGAGAAGGAATTTAAAGAAAAATAACGACCTTGATAAGGTTGAACTAGAGATGTGCCTCGCGCGAGGTCATATGACTTCGCGCGAAGTGTCATCCAAGGCAAAATTCTGAGTTCAGCAGATTCATATGCTTTAATATAAATTATCACAAATTACTGACTGCTGAGTATTTTTTGATTAATAAAGATTTACCTCGCGCGAGATATGATGAATAATTTGCGCGAGGATGATGCATTATATTTTGTGAGGCACATCTCTAGGTTGAACAACGACTTCGAGTTTATATAATTTTAGAGCCACGTTATTTATTTAATATAATCAAATATACACCAATATAATAGTAACAATTGTCGGACGATAACTTATTATTCATTAAAAAAGTACATGGCTTTAAAATCATAAAAGAGATTATACATAAAACTTTTACTCAGAAAGCCGATGTTGAATATTTATTTCCGGTTTACAGTGGTTGTTTCATCATTAACACAAAATTATTCTTTATATCGGACCTTTTAAAAATAGCCTACTTGATCCCAAGATGTGTCTCGAAATAACACACCTAATCTATTGGCAGATTTTTATGAAAATAATAATCAGGATCAAACCATTGGCCCTTATCTAAAAATAACACTAGAAATAACGCAAATGGACGTGTTCGTACTAACACGCAGGCGTCGTTATAATATGGCTCAAATCTAACACTTTATATATTGCAGAAGGAAAAAAAACAAACAATTATTGCGCTCGTCTAAATTTTCTATCAAATATGAGAAGCCTTTAGCTTGTACACACCGTATCTCTATAGATAGCCCTCTGTTTCATATCTTATCCTTAAAAATCGTACAATATAATAAGCCTCATTTTAAGTTCGAATTCTATAAAATACTTACTGAAACAAATGATATACGCATTGCGGCACCATAACGCCCTAACCATCTCGTATGTCAAAGGCGTAATAGTACATCTTTATCAACGACTTCGGCGTTATGCTTCATGGTTAAGAAAAACTAGTATATACCATCCAATAAAATTGCTAAGAGTTTAAAACACGATCCCACAAGAGAATAATTTAGGACCGAATAGGATCAAAATTTTGGTAGGTGAAATAAGATCAGCTTTTGCTAAAAAGCATAGAGTTGTCGGAATAGTTTTACAAGGTTTGAAGTCAGAATTTAAACAGTTTCAATTATCCATGTTCGGATTTAATAAAAAGTTGTAATTAATATTTTAAACGAACAAATAACAAAAATTACCAAGAAAATTAGATAAATGTCCGTCGAGAAAAAGTATCTCTTAATTGTATTAATGAATTATGAAAAAAAAAAGAAAAGTAAAACCATGATTTAACATTATTAATTGATTCGAATTTGCTAATCTTCATTCCTGTCGTAATAAAATCTTTAAAAAATCATAAATGGGTAAAATCGAAATGTTATAAAAAAAAAAGGGTAGAGATTCATTATATAATACAGGTGAATATAGACAATAATGAAAAGATATATAACAAAGACAGGAAGAAGAAAATTGTCTTTTTTTTGAAAAAGTCCGATAAGAAAAAAAAAAAAAAAAAATTAACCCACACAAAATAACTTCTGATCCTTTAATATTACTATTCTAAATTAAACCATTAAAATGGATCAGGTAACACAATTTTCAATGTCAATAAAAAATTTTTTTATATAATCATTTAATATTAAAAGAAGAAAAAAAAAAAGGTCAAGATATCTAATCTTTTGTTCTAAAATATCGAAAAGGGTCAAAAAAAGGCATTTTATTGAAAATGTCCAGAAACACCAAAATCAAAATATATTATAAATTCTTCATTGTTTTGTCTTTTTCTTCTCCGGCTCGCTATCATCGTCGTCGTCATCATCAGTTGGCGGAGGACGGTTCTTCAATGGATTGGAACTAGACTCATGCTTAGCCAATGGTGAAGGTTGGTGCATGTAGCTCATACGAGGAGCTGGCCAAGGAAAAGCTCCAGGATTAGCACTAGTAGGTGTATTACCAAATGTGAGAGGACTAGGTAATTCAGCTGTTTTATAAAATTCCGAAAAGAAAGTTGATGGTGATGGTAAATTCTGTGCAAATTGAGAAGGCAAAGCCGATGTTGGTCCTGCATCAGTGGTAGCTGGAGTAGGGCGAGACGACTGCAGCTTGTTAAATTACGAAATATTATTAACATTAGAAATTAATATGTATATATGATAACTGAAGCGACATTAAATATAATAATAAACATCAACTCACCGGTTGTGATACCGTTGCTCGTTGCGAGTCGGAAAGGGTTTCCTGTTCAGGCGATGGATCCGTTTTAATCGTCTGCGATTGTTGTACTGCGTTAGGGGCTGATTGTTTTTCCTTTGCCTCCGGAATTTGAACACGGAGTTTAGGCTTCTTCGGAGAGGATGATATGAGTGAAGGTGACATGATATCACCATTGATAGGCGTTTCAATTTGTGGAGTTTGAGACATAGATAAGCTCTGTGTATTAGAGCTTGATAACTGAGGAGATGAAATGGTTGTAGGTACATCAACAGGTACATTGGGTGCAATAGAAGCTGGCACCTGCATAGATACATTCGTAATTGGTAAAGGCATAGGTGTCATAGATTGATGCATTGCTTGAGTAACCTGTGGATAAAATTGTTGGGTCTATATTTATGCCCATTCAGAAAATGTTATTCTAATTATGAATAACGAGTAAAAGAAAAAAAACGAAATTTCCTATACCTGTTGAACCATAAATTGCTGATGTTGAGATGGTGCATACATAGGATAATTATTAATGGAATAAGGACCGGGCTGTCCTGGTACTTGTGTTGAGGAATACGTCTGTTGTGGGGATGGCATACCATATCGCTGGTAAATATATATAATTCTCAGAACACAATAATTAACAATTTGTTATATCAAGAATAGATTTCGAACCTTATGATCACTAGTGGTATCAAACCCTGGTGGAGGGTTGTCATCATCATCATCAGTAGCATTAGCAAACTGTAAAGAAATAAAATAATAGGACCATTACTATAGAATTCTCTGACCGATTAATAGGTAACCGAAGAAAATTATAAAAAAAAATATGACTTACATCATGGTTACCTTTACTTTCATGAGGTTCACTATACTGGATATATAAGTTTTTTTTTTAATATACTGTAACAATCGATGAGACGTAGCAATCTTCAAAATTAATAATTACCTCAGTGTATTTCAATAAAATTTTGTCAATATCCGTGCTTGCATATTGAACAAGCTTATTATTTGAATTAAAAATAATTAATGCGATTTCGCAATCGCATAATACACTGAGTTCGT